CCCCTTCATTAGGGCTTTGCAGTGTTAAAGTGTGTACTGGACTGATCAGATTGGATTGGCAATTAGTCTGATGCCAGTTAAATCTCTGGCATCTGGAGCGATCATACCTTTCACCCCTCAGGATCCCTCCAATGTTATCAGTCCAGTGCACGCTTTGTTTAAGCCCCGATGAAGGGGGATCCCTTTGTTGTGTTGGCTTTTATAACATAATCTGAATAAAATAGAATTTGGGTTCTATCCCTTCTGCTCTTGGTGCTGGCCTCCTTGTACAGAATGTCAGCCGATCCCCACTCTATATAAAGCTAAACAAAAAGTTTGGGTTGAATCTGCTTTTTATTATTTGAAATCTTGGAAGCCAATGGAAGGTCAATGTACTGACACTGTATTGATGAGTTCAGAGCAGTTCTGCAATGCTGTCCATAGGAGACTTGGAGAAGATTGGGGCCTTGTTGGATGCATTCATTCTACTATGCTTTGTACACTTTGCTGTACTTTGTGTCCCTGAAATCTTTATCTGACCCCAACATTTCAGTGAAATACAGATCATCAGAGTCTTGTTTAGGAAGGAAATGCAGCAAGCAGGGTACAATTACCAGTGACAGACAGGGAGAGTTTCCAGCTCAGTAACTCAGGCCGATGAACAATGATATCCAATTGTTTACTTGGGGGACTTGCTGACATGTGTCTCTAGAAGTTGTCTTAGATCCCAGGGGTGCCACCATTGTGTGTTCATTGCAGATGGAGAAGGTGGATGCGGACTTGAGCCTATCAAAAGCCCTCCGAGAGAAGCAGAATAAAGAGTTTATCCGGCAGTTGGAGGACGTTAAACAGAGATACGAGCAGCAGGTACGACATATGCAAGCTCTATGTCCGGGGTATCCGTGCCGTCTGATTGGCTTGTCTTTGTCATGTGACCTGTCCAGATTTCACAAATAATTCTGTCAAGGGAAAGCACATCTTGTTCTAGCAACCAATCAAACGTTCCCTATCATTTTCCCATGCTGCAATGGAACTATGGGGAGAGAGTCAATGATTGCCTCTCTTTATTGGCCCATGATTCTGATTGGATGCTTGATTCGGAGTCTTGTGTAACTTGTCCTTACTCAGGTAAGTATGGCTGATTGAGTGCACCAGTGTTATCTCTGCAGACAGAACTCCTATAGAGACTGTGCCGGCCTCCATCTTGGAACTTGGAATGGCCCTTCCCATGGCGAAGTCTCCTCCTTTCCTCATGACTTCAATGGATTTGGGGAATCTTCTGATGTGATTTATTTTTCTCTCTTTTAAAGCGAGCGGTTACCAAAACGTGTCCGGCGCACAGCGTGGTGTCACTGGACCACACAGCCTGACGCAGCCAGCGGCCTGTTGTCCTTTTATAAATCTGCTGCAGTGATTTCTGTTTGTATAACCCCAAGCGAGGCCATAAAGCCTCCAGAAGATGCGGGAACAATGTTACCGCTGTGTGCAGGTCTATAGCCCAGCTCCACACACTTCTCCTACGCTCTGCTCGGCCCCTTTGTTCGGCTGCAGCTTGTCCTAAACTTTGCCCACATTTCCTGCACATTGGGAAGGTTCTCATACCAAAGTGATCTGTAAAACAAAATGGGCAGAACAAGTGAGAGTTTGCCTTCTCCCGCCTCCCGCCACGGAAAGATTTAGAGCCTCAAACTTACTTTGAGAAAAGCAGAATTTTTTTTTTTTATAAATGGCAGAAATAAACCTAAAACATCGAATCCAGCAGATTGCTGCGACCAGAATGGAAACATTGCCCGGAGCAGCTTTATGAATGGCCAAAAAGTCTCCAAATTCAGATTTCCCATGAAAAAGAGCAATTTCATCTTTTATAAATAAACGTCTCTCTCAGACAAGCTCCTCCCACCATGTCCTAGATAATCGGGTCTGAACCAAGAAAAATAACCCAAGTTCCTGTCATTCAATGACAACGTCCCCTAGTCTATTCTGTGCTGGGAACACACACACATTATCTGGGTGTCGGGACTGGATATAGCTATTGTCCTATTACAAGCAACGGGGGGATACAACAATGTTGGGGGCATTTTATTGTTCCAGCAGTTTCCTGTTTGAAAATTAGATCATATTTTTTTTTTAAATAAGGGAACATTCCACCCTTCTAAGTGCAGTTAGAGGTGGAATCTAGGGGGCCGAGTTACCAGGTCGGCATCTTACTGTATATTTATTGAAAACTTCTGTGACACCCATATCTCTATAGTACTGCGCTCTGCTGCCCCAACCTTGAGGTGTTCCAGCTCCTCAAGTTACATTATGCATTTTCCATGTGAGTCCAGCAGGGATGGAGGGAGCCCCTCATAATGGGCACAGCGGGGGTACAGACCCGGGAACTCAGCACAGGGATGGTGGGGGCCCCTCATAATGGGCACAGCGGGGGTACAGACCCGGGAACTCAGCACAGGGATGGTGGGAGCCCCTCATAATGGGCACAGCGGGTGTACAGACCCGGGAACTCAGCACAGGGATGGTGGGGGCCCCTCATAATGGGCACACCGGGTGTACAGACCCGGGAACTCAGCACAGGGATGGTGGGGGCGCCTCATAATGGGCACAGCGGGTGTACAGACCCGGGAACTCAGCACAGAAGTCTTACCAGTAGAGTCCCTCAGAGATTATGGATAGTGTCTGGGGATCTATCTCTCCAGCATATCCGCATTGGGTGGACTGATCGGCTTATGTCAGTATATAAATATATATGTTCTGAGTACATCATTTCATGCAGAAGTCCGTCACGTAAAATAAGTTGCGGCCGAGCCCATTATGTGACTGTGATATAAGCCCAACGTTAATGCACCGTATGTACTGTCAATGTTGGTGGAGGCTGATATAGAGCAATGATATAAGGAGGCCAAGCCACCTGTCCCCTAGTTCACCCCCCACCCCCCTATCAACATAACACAAGCCATAGCGAATAGTAAATCGCAGCGCCGGTATAATTTCCATATCATTCCCCGGTGTATACGCCCCTTTTTTGTCCCCCCTTAAAACGTTTGAATTGAGACTGACGCGGCGCGCAGCCCAGCGCAAACATTGTAGAATCGGGTCCCTTTTCCTCCGTCCCCGACCTCAGCCGCATAGAAGGCTGCTGTACCATACAGTCCGGGGCTTTCTGGTCTCGCAAACAGGATCAAGTTTGGAAGAGTCATTCGGATTCTCACGCTGGACGTACGAGAAGAGATATGGTGTTGATAATCGGCCGCCTTCCTTTTTTTTTTTCCCCTCTCTTCATCTCTTCCCAAAATCCACCAAAACTGAAGAGAAATGCTAGTGACTGGGAGCAGCAGCTGTGAGGCCAGCGGATGGCGGGGAGGCCGGCTTCCTGCAGACTCCACTTCAAAGGCTGCCTGGATGCTTGTACAGAACAGGCCAGGTAGGGTGCCTTTATCGCCAGTCTGGGAGGATTAATATCAAAGAGAAAGCAGGCTGGGCCTTCATCTCGTCTCCCCCCCATTCACACCCAGCTGGGAGAAGCTGCGACTGGCGGAGGTCACAGCATCCAGCATGACGGCGACTGGGAAAAGATCCTGAGAATAGAAGCTTTTCTCAGAAGCCAATGGTGCAGCCATGGGCACAGCAGGTGCCTGCTAAGAACACGTTCTCCCCTTCGTGTCACTCTACAGTAGCTGACAAGGACATAAAGGGCCTTTTCTTCTCTTAATTATCTTTTGAAGATAAAAAAAGATGACAACTGTACTTTATCCCGAGCGTGCGCTATTTATCCTGCCACCGTACAGAATACAAACAGCCAATTTCGCGCTTTTTGCACCCATTTATAAACCCCCGGGGGCCGATTTCATGACTTATCCGGGAGGGTTAACCATTTCTCGCCTCGGTTGTCACCACCGCTCAAGCAGGAGAAACATATTTCTATTTGGGGTGAAATGTTGGGTTTCATCGGTTGCAGATATTTAGCCCTAGTCGGTGGGAGTTCCCGATGGCGTGTTTTTGTTCTATTTTGCGGGTTTGGGATCGGAAGGAAGACTCGGGGAGGAGACAGCTTTGAGTTTGGTGTGACGTAGGAGGTTCTCCATTAGTTTGATGACCTCTCCATGTGTGTGTGTCATACGTGTGGCATTATTTTTGAAAGTCGTGCCACAAGGTGGTGTCTGGAATAGGGGGTGGGGGCAGAAACAGGGGTCTGCATGTGTTGTCATGGTGACAAGGATATTCCAGTAATACACTGTACATTCCATTGTCCAATCAGATTGTGGAACTGAAGCTGGAGCATGAGGAGGAGAAGACTTACCTCTTCCAGCAGCACAGCGCCGAGAAGGAGGGCATCATGAAGGACCATGAGCAGGAGATCGATCGGCTGGACATACAGCTCCAGAATACCGTCTCCCAGCACGAGAAGAAGATGCAGTCGTGGAGAGACAGAGACGCAAAGGTAACCCCCAAATGCCGCTGGCTCGCCACTATGGCTCCGGCAAGAGATTAACACCATTGCGTCCCCCGGTCTGGGCGCAGCTTAATATTAGTTACCCCAATTATTTTGTTTTAATTGGCAGTTGTCACTGATAAGCAGCCACTTGCACTGGTGACGTTTAAGCCGTCTTCTTCATCCAACGTTTATCTAGTCGCCCCCCGTGCTGCGTGACACCACAGGTAGCCGGATTAAGCCTTGCATGGTGCCTTGATATTCGGCCTGCCTTTCTTTCCAAGTAGATTGGCTTTGTGTTTGGGGGGGGGGGGGGGGAAATTGAGACCACTGCCATCATTTTCAGTTGTGATACATTACATTCCAGCTTACCTGTCATTAGAACATATATAAACCTCTCTGGACATGCGCGCTGGCTGTCCTTGTCTCCCCCGAACCGAACATGTATCACGCCCTGCCGCCCGTTACAATGATACGATAAATGCAATACCATATCGCATCAGTACACCTGCTCCGCCGTCCTCCCAGCATCCATCTGTGCGCTCCCTGTTGGAAGCCAGTCTGCAGAATAACCCCCAACTGTGGGCTCATTTGATGCTTCAGACTTGCACACCAAACGCACACTGTCAGCGAAGACAATATCCATTTCTCCAGATATCTCCCCATGTTATCTTCCAAACACACGGCACCTACAAGGCCCGGGCTAATCCGCTGATAGATATTTCTGTCTGTAAATGGCGGCATTGTGCCCATGTCATGCTGTGTGTACATGGCAAGGTAACCCAAGATGATACGACGTGCTTTTATCAATGGTTTGTGATTATTGGATTATCTGTTGACGTACTGACTGATATAGGTTAGATATCTGGAAACACATTCCGTTTAGTAAACGGTGAGGTCTGCCATTCATTTTCTGGGCATGTTAGCGTTATCTCTGCACCCGAAGAGCTGTGTTCATAATTTGGAGCTGCTTCTGCAAAATCAGAAAGGTGTCGAGAACATGAAGGTTCTTAACGTTTAGGAGAGCGGTATTGAAGCTGACATTGGAATTTGTACATTCATACATATCATTGAAGCCTGCCAAGGTGGATAAAGGACCAAATGGTTCCTACCTAGATACAAGATGGCTGTCCCATGTATAATCATCTAGTAATGCTTCAAGGCCAAGGCCATCTTTAGATAATAGCAGATCCAAGTAAGATTAGAATTCATGCTTAGGATACAAGGTGTAAAACGCTGCGGACTAAAGCTGTATACTCTCATATATTGCAGTGTGGATATATTAAAATACGTTTTATGGCCGGTTGGGTGGGTTGCGAGTCCAAAAGTGAGATATAATGTTCAAAGGTCAGTGTCATCTCTTAGGCTGACCTTGTCATTATTTTATATGGTCGTTATTTTGACTTCTTATACCTGTAACGTCGTTTACTTGTTTCGTCCACCAGCTATAGAGATACCACCCTTGTCTGATTGTGTCCCATTTAGGGCTGCAACAGCTAATCGACATAATCGATTATAATCGATTATTGAAAAAGTTGTCAACTTTTTCAATAATCGATTAATCGGCTTCCGATCAGTTGGCCCTGTTCACAGCTCCACACGCGTTGCGCCGCACCTCCTCCCCACCTCATGCTCGCCGCTGCCAGACCCGCTCGCATCCGCGCTCCACACGCCGCACCTCCTCCTCGCCTCACATTTCCTGCCCATCCACATCAACGATCGGAGGAGGAGCAGGTGTGGGGGGATGACAGCTGCTGATGGACAGGTCCGATCTCAGAAGCACGTTGCTGGAAGACTGCTCAGGTAAGCCTGCACTTTCCCACACATGGTGCTCTATAATGTATTGCTGGGATTTGTATTTCTCTATAGCTGATGGTACATTGTGCTGTATATTATACAT